CCAGACCTCATAAGTGACCAATAAGTGTCTCCGACTTCACAGAGCATGCAACCACCATTTCCCCTGACATCTCTCTTGAGAAGCGGCTGGGTGAGTAAAGACCTGAACTTTTCAGAGAGAAAGGACTGAGTTCTATTCCTCACCAGCACTTACTGGAGGAACACTCAGTGGGTTTGTTAAAGAAAAGGAAACAGAAGTTCGAACTCGGTGTAGAGGGAAGAACGAGGCGGGCAGTGGTTGTCCAGAGTACTTTGCAACTATCACCATGACCACCACTTGGTCTAAAAGGGGGGATCTAGGAAGCAGTGTGGGGTGTTCAGCAATGAACTGAGGCTGGTGACTCAGCATTCACTGTCCCTGGTTCCTGGATGCCTTTCTTCCCTAGAAGGAGTAACATGACATCAGCATTTCCCTTTCTCTAAGGACAATTGCCAGTAACGAGCAGGTCAGAAAACTATGTGGTAAGGAGTAGTAGGAAGCACTGTAACCCCAACAAGAATGATTTCAAAAGTGCTGTGAGGGGAGTCTGTGATGTAGGGGCTCTCAGTAAAGTACTCTTTGATGGACAGGGAGAGGCCAGTCAGTGTAGACTGGCCACCAAAGAGGAGGATCTCCACATCACATTGGCTCTGGGGTCTGATGGCAGGAGTATCAAGTAAAAAAGAAAGATGCTTAAAGAGGAAGTCCACAACATCTCTCAATTCCCAAACGTCATTGCTCTGAGGTGATTCTGAAGGGGGAGGTACTGGTGTGTGGTGAGGACCTTGGAGTGGGTAATCTCGCCCCAACAGATGAGGTAAGAACTGAGTAAAGCCTAGGCCTGAATCTGAGCCAGGTCTCCTCTCCTCCAGTTTCTTAAGGGTTCTCTTTTTATCACAACCCACTGGGCCCCACCACACACACACACACACACACACACACACACACACACACCAACAAAAAGACTTTCTGGTCAGCTGACCTGCTCAGTTCCTGTATCAGATACCTGCCCCCTCTACCTCCATCCCTCGAGGGCTTCCTCATCTTACCCAGCAGGGTAGACACAGGGGTATTTTTTCCCAGTGTTTTCCCCAAACCAGTTTTAGATTCTGCAACTAGGTCTCCTAGGAGATGCTCAGAATTGGGGAAATTTTGTACTTTCATTTTGTTTCTGTGGGGTTTTTTTTTCTTATCCAGATAAATGCGCTCATCATGTGCCCCATTTGATGATCTGGTCCATCCCTCAGTAACTCTTTTCTGCCTGGATAGCTTATGTAATAGAGGGCTTTTAGTTAGAAGTCATGTTGAAGATAGTCATTGACTGGGAAACCAAGATGGACAGAGGCAACAGCCCCAGATACTGACTGGCAGCCAGGCAACATGGCCACTGGCAGCCATGAACTCTCAAGAGTAAAAGAGAAGAGTAGCAAGTCTTAGAAGTCAGACTGTCTTTGCCTTTAAGAGTTGGAGATTGGAATTGGGAAGATGGCTCAAACAATAGAGTGCTTATCATGCAAACTTGTGAGCCTGAGTTTGGATCCCTGACACGCACATAAAAGCCAGGTGCAGTGTGCCTATAACCCCGGTGCAAGCAGCAAGGGGACAGAGGCATACAAATCCCAGGGCCTTGCCAACTAGCCAGTCTAGCTGAAACAATTAGCTCCTGGTTCAGTGAGAAACCCTGTCTAAAATTATATAAAGTAGATACATAGATGAATACACCTGACATTGATCTCTGGACTCCACCTTCATACACACATGGACAGCCCCCCCCCCCAGACACACCTAATCAAAAAGAAAGAATTAGAGATGACCTCATTGCAAAGCTCATTTTAATTGTGGGAGAAGCCGTTCTCTGTACAGTCCTCCTTGTTTTGGGGGTAAGGCATCGTGTAACCAAAGGGAAGGAAGTGATGCTGTACCACAGACAAGGGAGTCTAGAAATGGGAAACCATACATTCCCAGGATTCTCCTGCTGTTCTTACTAGAAGACATATTCAATAGACAATAAGTTATTGACCATCATGATCCCAAAGATTGACTAGCCCATTCCTGCCTAGCGTACTCTACTGAAAATGGTATCGGTGAATAGAGAAAGCATAGATGTAGAATTAGATGATCCAGGATCTCTCATCTCAATCTGTCTCTCTCTCTCTCTGTCTGTCTCACTCTGTCTGTCTGTCTCTCTCTGTCTGCTTCTCTGTCTCTGTCTCTCTCTCTCTCGTGTGTGTGTGTGTGTGTGTGTGTGTATGTGTGTGTCTGTATGTGCATGTGTAACAACACTTAGACCTCCATCTATAAAATAGGAAAATCATACCTGCTTCTTATTATTATATGGAATAACAAATATGGAGGCCCTGAACCTGCAGGGACTTCAGTTAGTGGCATTTCTTTCCTTTCTAACTTCTTAAATCTTCAAAGAATAATAAGTATACTCCAGAAAAGGAGAAAACACCCTTTACCTAGAGTCTGGATATTTGGGTTTGGCCTAGATCCAGTTTTATACCCTAGCTCTGTCTGCTCCCAAGACTGTCGTGAGGATAAAATAACATAGTAAATGTGTTGGCTTCAGAAAAGTGGTTTTGTGAATACAAGGTGTCCCCAACTGTGTGTCTTTCCACATTGGTTGGATCTCTCGCGTGTGCGCCCTACCACTGAAAGGAGTTGCTCTGCACAGAGCTGCAAAAATCTGGAAAACTTGGAATTAGCCACATTGCCTATCTTAATTATGATTTCTATTGCCGTGAAGAGACACCATGAGCATGGCAGTTCTTATAAAGGAAAACATTTAATTGGGACTGTCTTATAGGTTCAGAGGTTTAGTCCATTATCATCACAGCAGAGAGCAGAGAGGCATGCAGGCAGTCATGGTGCTAGAGAAGGAGCCGAGAGTTCTTCTTCCAGACTGGCAGGCAGCAGGAAGACAGAGTGAGCCACCTGAGCTTCTGAAACCTCAAACACACTTTCTCCAGCAAGGCCACATGTTCTAATCCTTTCAAATAATGTCACTCCTTTCAAATAATGAGCCTGTTGGGGTGTCATTTTCTACCAACACATTGCCCAAGACCTTATTAGCTTCCTGAGGAAAGAGTGTAAGAGCCAGAGGTGCTAAACAACAGCAAGGAATCTGTCTTTGAGACACAGAGGGCAGCTGCACGTACGAACTCATAGGGATTATAGCATCATACATAGAATCTGTGCAAATGCAGGCAAGACCAAGTCTCAACTAGGAGACGAGAGCGGGGCACAAAATCCCACCACTAGCCATGGACGTGTTAACAGTTGTCAGCTTCTGGAAGAGGGAGGGACAATCTTCTCTGAGACTGTTGTCCCTGGTAAATCAACCAGGTTCCAGTGGAAGACCACTTACCCAAGAATGTTTGAGCAGCACAAAATGGTTTCAATGGGTTGAAGAAGAAAGGATGCAAAGTTGGGTGAATGTCCTTGGAAGAATGAGGAAGCACAAATATGATTTTAAAAAAAGTTCACAAAGAACTAATAATTTTTTTTAAGAAAGAAGAAGAAGGTTCATTCTGGAAGGATGAAGTAAACATGAAGCAAACATTTGAAGAGGAGGCAGGGCTTGGCAGAAGCACACGGATGGAGCACACATCCCAGTAGCTGTGCAACTCAAGGACCAAGATCATTTTTGAAAACTCTGATTTAATGGCCAGGTGTCGTGGTGCACACCTTTAATCTCAGCCCTCAAGAAGCAGAACTAGGTAAATTTGAGACCAGCCTGGTCTACATAGTGAGTTCCAGGTCAGCCAGAACTATATAGTAAGATCCTGTCTCAAAAACCAAACCAAAACAAACAAAAAACAAGAAAAATGGAAAAGGAGGAAAAGAAGGAAGGAAACTAATCCATGTCATTTGCTGATTTCTACGGTATCAATTTCACATGTGGTTGATTTCTATCTAGCTTCCTCAGTGATGACACTCAGTGTCGAGCTGGGAACGTGCCGTACCTAATTCGCCACTGCTAAGTTGGCGTACTGGAGGAGAGGGGGAAAGCAAAGAGAGCAAAGGACCACTTTTCCTCTATTCCCCAGCTCTTTCTACCCTCAGGCCTTCAGAGAGGCCAAGAGTAGAGCACTGTGATTGTGACAATGGATTCTAAAAGCATCATGATGCCTGAGGACCAGCGAGATGGCTCAGTGGATAAGGGCACTTGTCCAGGCTTGGAGCTCACATAATGGAAGGAGAGAACTGATTCCTAAGGATTGTTCTTAGACCTCCGCATGTACAACTGTGTCAGGCACACACACACACACACATACACACACACACACACATACACACACACACACACACACACACTCATCTTTCAAAATCTCCTTGTGTTCTGTTCATACAGTAAGTTCTTTCATAGCAGAAACTTATACGTAAGCTCTAAATTGAAGACAGCAACGAACTAGCTTGATCCTGTCACATTGTGCTCATCAGAGAAATTGGCTGTTAGCCAGTGGTCCACTCTTCTCCACCACCCCCCCCCCTTTGTTTTTTTAAGACAGGGTTTCTCTATAGTTTTGGAGCCTGTCCTAAAACTCGCTCTGGTTCACTACTGCCTACCCCATCAGTCTGTGACTGTAGCTCCCGGTTTGACTTGCAGGGGTGTTCAATGAGGCTGTGGGACACAGAAGATCTATTATCTCATTGAAGGCTAATTACAGAACTTGAGCTCTGAATTATCTCATCTGTAGGTAGTCTGCCTAAAGTCTCTTTCCTTAGGACCCAAGAAGAGTTACCAGTCAGATCTACTCAGAGAACTTGTGACACCCATTTCCTGGAAACAGTTTAGAAAAAGGAGGGTGGGGAGGGATCACATTTCTGCCCCAAACCAGAGTTTGACTGAAGTGACTACACAGCTCCTTTCCTGGCTCCCAGAGGTCCAGACACCTGACAGGTTTCTCAAGAACAACGAAGTGATTTAAGCCTGATCAGATATGAGCAATCCTTGAGACTCAAGCAAAAAAAAAAAAAAAAAAAAAAAAAAAGAAGAAGAAAAAACCCGCTTAGTTAAGACAGGAAGCTGGCTCAGGAACTCGGTGGTTCCTGATGTGTAGAGTTGACAGCAGAGGCAGCACAATCTGATCAGAGCCTCCACCGGGGCAACCACGAGCAACTGCCCGGCTCCCAGACAGGCACCGCGTCCCTCTCTTGGCCGGCTAATGGAGCCCAACAGGTCCCTCTCCTTGGGCATACTTCTGCTTCTTTCTCTGGCTTTTGGATTGAGCTACGGAACAGGTGAGTGTCCATTTGTTTAAGGGGTTGAGTCCTGTGTTTAGCAATTTGGAATCAACAGAGCTTCGGGGATAGAGGAGACATAGGATGGGGAGTGCAGTTCAGTTGCCTCTTCCTTAAGGAGTACCTCTGGGTTTCTACTGTGTCTTTCAAAGAGGAAGAAACTTGTGTGTTCCTTGAGCCTCCAGTTCCAAGGATTAGCCCCACTGGCACTAGTTTCTAAGGAAACCAGAAGCCAAAGTCACCGGCTATATCCATAATCAGCCTCTTGGTGTAAGGGACTCAGGCTGAAGTTCTGAGTGGCTGATTTGGGGTGGGTACTCTTCTGGCAAAGACACAGGCTAGGGAATAGAACTCTGGAAGACTTGTCCTCCATCCCTGCTGTGATTCTCACACATACACCAGCAGACAAAAGAGAACATGGTCCAGCGTAGAGCGATGGTGGCAGAGGGAAACAGGTAGAGGTGAGAAACCTCAGACCTCGGGCTGACAGAGTCAGCGGCTGAAGTGTGGTCACACTTTCCTATAAGAGATGATTCCAAAGCAGCAAGAAGGGAAGAGGTTGGGAGTTTTGGAGCCCAGGGCTGGTTATATGCAAATCGAGAAACTTCTGGTCAAAGAAGCTCCTGCAGTGGGGCCCAGTGGACAGCTAAGTTAAAGGAGTCAGACTTCTCTCCCATCCCGCTGATTCTTTCCAAGGCGAGACACTGTTTCCTGCTGAGTGGGTAGAAGCTATAAGGAGAGGTATTGGGAGCACCAGAGCTAAGAGGGATACTGGACTGACCATGTGAGTGGAATGGGCAACCCCATGTTAGGATGTGATCAGACTGTGGGAGACAGCCTGGCATGGGGATGGCTTTAGGGAAGGGATGGGAAAATCCTGAGGCCTAAAGCGTTTGGCCTTAGTATTTTGGTCTTGGCATTTTCATAACTGCAAATCCATTATGGACTTTTCTAAGAAAAGCCCTGGCATGTGCCAGGGATGTGGGGGTGCTGTAAGTGGAGGCTCTTGTTCAAGTCTCAGATGAGGGGGCCCTTGCTTAGACTCATTTTGAGAGCTTAGATCACCAAACCAAGCATCTCTGTAGGTAGAGCTAAGCCTTCCTCGCTGTATCCTATCTGAACCCCACCATACTTGGTGACTAATAACTATGGGATGAATATTTGCTTTTCTGCTTGGATAGCCTTGCCTGTGACAGCTCAGGTGTTGCTAACCAATGCGCTGCTGAAGGGTGAGAGCTCACTTATTGGTGAGTGGCAGTCCAGTCCCAGAACACATACATGTCACCACACTTGACAACTATTCTTTCCTTCCATTCCGTCTTCTAAAAGTGGTTCAATTTTTGTCAGTCTTCTATTTTTAAATGTGTACTCTTTTGTGAAACCCCAATAAAACTCAAATAGAAGTGTTTTGCAAATGAGACAGATCAGTCGTGTCAGAGCAACCCAGCGAAGACACTTGACTCTTGTAAAAATCAGCACCTTCTCATTCCAGCTCAATTTTCAGTCCCCAGTGAGAACTGTAGAAAGCAAAAAGCCCACATGTCCCTTCCCGGGTATAACAAATTCTCCCAAATGACTTCTTCATCCACATCGAACATCGCCTGCTTATTTTATACAACGTCTATATAGCATCTTGACTTATATTCAAGAGCCATAGCAAAGAGTATTCGGGTAAATAACTGCAAGGTAAACTTTTCTGCCTTTTTCTTCTATAGTTTTCCGGGAGTCGTTTTTAATTTCTTTCCCTTAAAGAAGACAGATATATTGTGCGTGTGTCACAATGTTAGTATTTATTAGGCTCTCGGGAAGCCTTATAGTCTTTACAATGGAGAGAGCCCAGGCTGTGGTTTCTGCAAAGCCAGCCCCAGGTTTATTCTTCGTTGTGCACATTAATTTTTCTAACAATATCTTTTTTGTTGATCTCTGATACTGCTCTCCCCCTCATCATTCCTGCCAGAACATTATGATTCTCATCTACATGGGCCATTAACTCCAATTCACAGACATTTTCATACCACGTGCCTAATGTTTCCATGAATGCTTGAATTGGATACAAATGCCAAGTTCATGTTCGGAAGAATCCACACCAAGGACCAAATACGCAGTCACATCGTATCTAGAAATCAGTTGTCTCAGATCCTTCAATGTATCAATAATTTCTCAAACTATACCTCATTTATAGAGCAATTTTGGGTCATATCCATGTTGAACAGAGATTGCTTACACCCCTTACCCTGTATTTGCATAGTCTCGTTGTCAGTATTGGCCACTATGGGGATATATGAATCATGATTGATGATGCTCCCAAAATAAGGTGCTTTTGTCTTCCATGTAGGTCTTTCCCACATCCTCCATACATGTTGAGTAAGAGATAAGGAACAAATGCCTGGGTTCTAGGCTTGACCCAACCTAATACAGCTATTCCATGCCAGTTTATGGATCTAAATATTTCTTCAAAAAAATTAATTCCATGATATAAAACCTCACCTTTCTTTATCTGTAACATTGAAACAGAGTTCAAAGCAAAAGGGATTCAGTTATTTATAGACTGACTTTTAAAGATTCTCTTCAGCACTGATCTACTGAGTGTATCTGACACTACCAGACAAGGTGTAGGGGGAAGAGGAAAATGAGCAATCACAGCCTCTGACAGGCACCTGACATGATGCTCAGTATGTGAAAGCCCACTTAAAAATTATTGTTGAATGAATAATAGTAGAAAATACTACACACTTGCTTTATACAAGACATTATGCTAAGCGTTTTATCATTGAAGTATCACACCAACCCACCACCATCACCAACAGTGAGATTATCATCACCGTCATTAGTACTATTACAACTTTATAAATGAGGAAAGATAAGCAGAGTAGATTAACAGTCTCTGTATATTCTATATGTCAGGGAATGAAACCGGATAAACTTCTGTTTGAGAAGTGGGAAGAATGATACAGTGTATTTAGGTCCCGAGAGGAAAACTAGAATACAATATCTATAATTAAAGGGTATGTGTTGAATTAAAACTATCTGAAGCATAGCAAATGTCAAAAGGTGAGAGGAATCAGCAGGTTACAGGAGAATGTAGAAAGCACATATACGAAGTGAAATCTGCACTGTTTTTAGCATACAGGTTTTTGTTTGAACCCTTCCGTTTATTTAGGCAAGAGTTGCAATTGCATGTGTGTCCCTACAACTTCAACAGAACAAAAGAGATTAGAATGAAGACGCCTTCTTTCTATAATCCTTGCTGCAGACAACACTCCTGCTAGTTTTTGCGTTCTCTTTCAAATAGAGAGGTTAGTTTCTACTAGGGTTTGGGAAGAGTGTTTTAGACAGAGATCCAAACACAGAGCTAGAGAGATTCAAGTGCTTGGGGGAATGGCAATGGGTCTGTCATAGCCCAAAGGCAGCAGTGTGTGACTGAGGAGCTTCTAAATCCTCACCTGGAAAGTGGAGACAAATCCTGTCTCTCCTCCCACATGGGGGTGCTACAGAGATGAAATGGATTTCATTTTGATTGTGGAAAGAGAAGCACTTAGACTCATCTTGTCATTCATTCATTCAGCCCACTTCATTTTATTCATTCACTTTGACAACAAGGATTTTCTGGGCTTCCACTATGTCCCAGGTACCTCTTAAACACCACAGTAAATTAAAGATATAATCCCTGCTCTGGAAAGATTCTAAGTGTGTGAGGATGACAAGTGCTAAACTTGCTAAAACTGTCATGCAGTTAAAACTAGTTAAATCTGCGTGAAGGGGTGATGCAAAGTGAGATGGAAGCATGTGGTGGGAAAGCTACCCGAAGCCCCAAGTCCAGGAGGTCTTCCCTCATTAAAAGGAGTCAAGGTGAAGACCTGAAGGGTGGAAGGAACTGGTCGGGCAAAGGGTGGTCTAGACTTTCAGGCTGAGAAATGATAGGTGCTGATAGTCTGAGCCACAAAGCCCCAGCACTCTCAGCACCGTGGGATAGGGAGATTTACCTGATATCTAGGCTTAAAATCAAACCTTCGACAAGCTATTTTTTTTCCTTTCTGAGTCTGCATTTATAGATAGAACTGCAAAGCCTGTCTCTTTTATACAAAAAAAAAGAGAAAGAAAGAAAGAAGAAAAGAAAAAGAATGTAGCAAGATGCTAAAAACATCTATAAAATATCAGAATAAAGTCAAAAAAATAAAGTTCTGGGGTAGAATCCCACCTTGTGAATGGGTTAGCTAAATCCTGCAAATTTCAGGCCACGGTTCACCTGCCTATGTGAATCACTCCACCATCAAAGCAGAGTTACCCATGAAGGAAAGTGAGTCGGTGTGAAGAGACAAATGTTTCCTCCCAGCCTCTTCTAGTAAACAGGACTGACTGAATCACAGGCTCGCTGGAAAACCTTCATCAGGCAGTAGGATGTTTCAGGAACAGAGACTCGACGTGAAAGGTTCTACAGCCCCACTGTGTTTCCACTTGCGTGAGGCGGGGATGACCTCAAGCACCCTCCAGACTCAGCAGTCATGGGAGCAATTACATCATTATTCTCTGTGTGTTTGGGTATTAGGGTCTCCTGGTGACATTTTGGTTCCACTCATTGTGCATGCAAATCATGAAGTCTGTCTTCATCTGCCCCGTTTCTTTCCTTTAACCCTCTCTCCTCTTACCTTCTTCATTTATTTGGCTACTTTCTACTTCGGCCTTACCCTACTTTTCTCTTCTTTCTACCACTTCTGTATTCTGAAAACACACACACACACATAACCCTACCAGGTCATATGATAGGAAAGGTTGTATAGGAGGCATTTGGAGAGTGAAGTATCAGCAACGATCTTAAGGGTAAATTTCCCCATTTTCCCCTTCTTCTCCATATCAAAATTAGTTTAAAATGTCAACAGTATGGTAGCAATTCTGTTTTTTTAAAATCTCATATCTCTTTCAGAAGTAGCATTTAGGATCTCTTCCCCCGAAATGGACATACATTCAAAGGTCCATGGACGGCTCTCAGTCTTCCCTCTTTGCTGTTCATATATTTAGGATTCAGGACATCACTACTCTGGGTACATTTTTACAGTTCAGGTGTGAAGCATCAGACTAGCTGTGTTGTCTGGAGTTGCCAGGCATTTCTCAGTGTGGCCGGAAGGAAGTCCAATGAGCTTCCCAACATACCCCTGTAAAAGCAGCACTAAGCAACCCCAGTTCATCTAACTGAGCAACAGGGCGAACACTCTGTTGTTAGAGGAAATATTAGCAATGCCCCAAAGACCAACTCCCTTGTCACCTAACCTACTTTCCTTTAGCAACCATGCATCAACCATTCTCATCCTGACTTTAGCCCATGTTGACTGTGTCTTCTTCCCCACCCCCACATCACTAGTCTTTAATTAATGTGCGCTGGGCCATTTAGCAGGCAGTGTAGGGATTTCAGAGCACATTGATGTCAAGACAATTTTAGCCGATTTACCCAATTTTCCAGTAGCTCAGCTTTACCACAATTGAGAGGGGGTCTCTTCTAGATCGACCTGTCGCAGAAGCAGGTGTTTTTATTTTACCCTTTTGAATCTCTTATCAGCTAGAACAATCTATGCTCATTGAGTCATGTGCTCCTATCATGAACAGTAACTCATGGTTAAATTCAGTTATATACATATTAGGCTAAGTTAAGAGGTCTGCCAGGGTAATATGACCTTCCTTGTCATTCAAACAGATATTTCAGAGTCTTTCTGTGCCAAGCACTGTGTCAGGCTGTCAGATATACACAGTGGAGAAAGATTCTTTCTCTGGAGAAGACTGTATTCAAGTGGGGCAGATAGCAATAAAATGAACGAACGGGCACTGAAACACCCGGCAGCAATAGCAAGAGCAATGGGCAGGGGGGCTATCCTGGTACTCTGTCAGAGGAGGCCTCTCCAAAGAAAGAATCCTCTGAGCAGGCACCCAAAATCAAGTGAGGAGCTGAGCTGTTCTGGTACATAAGGGAAGAGCTTTCCAGAGAGAAGCAGCACATACCAAGTCCCAGAGGCAGTAATGTTCTTGATGAGGTCAAGGAACGGGAAGTTACCTGATCATAGCGCTGTGAAAACCAGAGAGTGAGAGGGGGATGGGTTAGGAGCAACACGGGGTTTTCAGTGAGCAGAGTCAGAAACTGTGAACTTATGAGTGCTAGAAAGCCCTGGAAGATTAAAAGTGATAGAAGAAAAGAAAATAAATTAGACGTGGTTTTAAAGAATCTCTCTGTCTATGGTACAAATGCTGAGAAATTAGTTGGGAGAAAGGGGTAGCAGCTGGACCTGTGATGGCGGTGGTAAAAAGGAATGGCATGGGGAGTGCTTCTATGTCAGACCCACATGGAAATTAGAACTAGCAGGGTGGTCTGTCAAGACCAAATGTGGAGTGTGACAAAGGGCAGACTCAAGAACTCTCCAATGTTCTGGCCTGAGAAACTGGACAAATGGTCATGCTTGAGCAGAAAGTTCTTTGCTAAAGTCAGATGCCATCTAAACCTCTAAGCACACATCTATGTAGGCAGTAGATATTAGGCAGTGAGCAGATTAGTCACAATTCGCAACTGTTAATACTGTCGAGATACATCAAACTGTGCAGCGACATGAGAAGTTGAATAGGTGTAAATAAGGGAGAGAAGGAAGCCTGAGCCCAGGCATAGTCTGATATTTAGATATCTGAAAAAAACAGAAGTTTCCCCCAAGAAAACTAAGAATGATAAAAGAGCAAAGTTGCAAGTCAGGGAAGTGTAGTATCTTGGGGACCAATGCAGGCAGTGTTCAAAGGAGGGAAGATGAACTATGTCGAATGTTCCTGAGAAACACTTAAGACGATGATGGAGAATTAATTGAGCTCAACAGACTAATCTTGATGAGTGAGATTCAATGAGATTTGGAGAAGAATACTTGTTTGGAGTGGGCATGGGGGAAACTGGACCAAGAAGTAAAAGCAGAAAACATAAACAGGCAGGCAAGAACCTTCCAAAAGAAAATGAAATGGCCAAGTGGCTGAAGATGATCCTGGGATCAGAGGAGAATTTTTTTTTTAATGAGGGCAATTAAGTGTTCGTATGTTTGAGTTGGTGAAAGAAATCCAGAAGGCAGCTGATAATGCAGGGGGCACGGATTACAGAGGCAAAACTTGGAAGCACAGGAGTGGTCCTTGAGGGGTGAGACTAACCTTGGATGGGAACACAGGTCATTCCTCCAGGGAGATAGATCAACTGGGATTTCCATAGATTGAAATTTGCTTTCCATTTCTTCTATATTTTTTCAGTGAAACAGAAAGGGCGGTCACCCCTGCGAGGGGAGGCAGAAGGCAGGCTGTGGGTTTGAGCACAGCGGAGATATTAAATAGTCAGCACTAGTATCCCTTATTTTGGTTTTTGTGGCTTTTTTTTACACCCCTCCCATTTTTGTTGGTTCAGCTCTTTTTCAAAAGGGAAATAAAATAATCTCTTACCATTACCATTATTAATTATCTCAGGGATTTTTGGAGAACTAGGATTCCAGTTTGGACACGAAGTGCACAACCTCCCATTCCGTAGTCCTCAGACCCTTCTCTGCTTATCACTTGACTGGTGTTTCTGGAACTCTGGTCCTCTGGGCTCCTTTTACTGTTACCCACTCTTCACCCTGCATACTGAGTGCCGGGAAGGACCTTGGCAGAGAAATTATAGACTGGGATTCCTGTCCCGGCACTTCCACTTACTCTGTGACATCAGGGGAGTCATTTACCTACTTCTGCATTCTGTGCCTACCCTGTCACATCTGAATTGGCAGGACCCTGGTGTAAGTAAGTCTAGGATTTCCAATGGACACTTTGAAATACTGAAGGTATGCTTAGGATCCTGGTGGTTGTTCTTAGAGACCACCGCCTGGTGTATCGAGCTAGTTGGGGAGGAGAGGCGAGCCTCAAGCCTGTCGTTCTCTGCCCTCTACACCGTGTGTTCTCCAGGTCTTCCATCATAAGGAATTACTGTCCCTTCCTTCCCACAGGTGGAGGTCTGATGAACTGCCGAGTGATTATCCAGCAGTTGGGAAATGACACCACATGGCTGCCCCTGACGAAAGAGAGCTTTAACAAAAGCATCCGCATCCTTGTCACGAAGGCAACCACAATGTCTCTAGAAAGCAAAATCACTAAGAAAATAGTATCTTTTAATATCGATAAAGAGGACTCTCTAGAGCACCTGGAGAATGGCTACCAGTTTCAACGGGAAAACCTGAGCCTGGGGATCCTGGGAAACAGGAGGGAGAGTGAAGGATGGTACATCGTGAGTTTGGAGGAAAATGTGCAAGTTCAGCAATTCTGCATACAGCTGAAGCTCTATGGTAAAAATGGGAGTTTTCACACTTTGCACGGGAGGGAGGGCCCAGAAGACTTTAGGCCTTTCTCAGAAGCAGAGTGTCTGAAATTGGAAGCAACTTGAAAGATCTGGTCCAAGGAGTATTTAAGCTTAAGGGAAGCACTTTGACAGGCTGACATTTGTGTGTGTGTTTGTTTGTTTATCTCCCAAACTGCACAACAGTGGAGGCTGATTTGATTCCTGTTTTGAAAGGAAGGGAACCCACTGTGTGGGAGCTGAAGGGCTGGCTTTTATCTCTTACAGGGCTTAGTTTGCATACCAAGTTTTTAATAAAAGGATTTTTTTCTATCAAGCCCAGAAGTACAAAGTTTGAACATAACTGAACAAACCTACCTTCTCCTTCATTGCCAGGGACCCCGACTCCAGGGGCAAGTGGTTTTGCACGTGCTTAGCCACTTGTGTGGGATGTTTGCTGAAGTAGAAGTTCTGAGTAAAGAAAGCTGACATTCCACCCACAACAGGTCACCAAGCCCAGAGCCCTGGGGGAGGCTTCCACCTACGTGAGGAAAGAAACGCCTTTTTTTTTTTTTTTTCTCATTTGAACCAGAATCTGGTTATGTAGTTGTTTAGTTGAGGGATTGTAGAACCTACATCACCTGAGTCCGGTGTTTTTCTTAGCCCCTAGAACTCTGCTCCTGTCCTTGAAGACAGCTAGAATTCCTATCTCTTAGGCCCAGAGGCTCATCTGCTTCCCAAGGCTTCCTGATGTCTTCGTGGGGCTTCCCTGGCTTTTCAAAGGGATCTCTTGCACCACGAAGGATGGGATAAGAAGCCCACAGCCAGAGTTAAAACAGAAACATCTGGACTCTCTCCTGCCCCACTGTTTCCCTTCTGCAAATAGAGAAAGCTGAATTCTCATAGCCCTCTGCTTTGTGTACACGGAGGCCGTACACCAAGTGTTTTTTTTTTAAAAAAACACATATGTCATATAATCTGTCCCTTTGTTTTTATAAGTTTACTGACTTTTTCAAACCTTATGTTATCAGTTGGATACTTTGGGAACTGTGGTCTCTGCCACCACGACTCGCTTTGCTGAGAGAGGCGGTTGGACTGATTTCAGAATCTGACTAAGCTGCTTATCTCAGCCTGGGCCACTTAGAAACTGCATAATGTTGAACAAGACATGCCATTTCTCTGGGACTCAGTTTTCTCATCACAAAATGGGAATAATTATTTTTAGTTATGATTATTGAGAGAATTAAAAAAGATGAATATGAAATGCCAGCAATGTGCTGGTCTTATAGTGGCTGTAACAAGCATGACCTCCCTTTTTGCCTTGCCTGTCTCATGGCTTTAGAATTGTATAGATCAATAGGGCCTGTTGCTATGATTGAAAACCTACCAGTGCCTTAGACCCACCAAGCACTTGCTACACACACACACACACACACACACATACACACAAACCACAAATACACCACACACACCACACACATATACCATACATACCACACACCACATACATCACACACATCACACACACATCACATTCCACACACACACACACACACACACACCACAAATACACCACACACACCATACATACACCATACACACACCACCTACACACACAACACATATACCATATACACCACACACCACACACACACACCACACACACCACGCATACCACACACATACATACACACCACACACACAGGCATGATGAAATCCTATCACTGAAAGCTCATGCTTCCAACTCTAGGAGGTTGTACTTGAAGCCAATCAAAACTCATCTTATTCCTGACAGAACCGACAGAACAGTCCGATGAGGCACGCAGTACCCTAACAGTATTAGCTGGAAGGAACCAAATACCACATGCTTCTCTATCTTATCTCAAGGGTCCTGGAAAGAGCAGAGAGTCATGAGGGTTGCTGTGAGTGGCAGTTTTCCAAGAGACAACTTGCACTTAAGACTTCTCAGTGAGGGGGAAATGCCAATTGTCTAGGCATTGTTTTGGCAAATAAGTCAAATTGAGTTCCAGGAGTTGTGTTTCAGTGATGGCTCCCTTGTTCCTTCTCCTGACAGAGCAGGTCTCCACTCCAGAGATTAAAGTGTTAAACAAGACCCAGGAGAACGAGAATGGGACCTGCAGTTTGACGGTAGTCTGCACGGTGAAGAAAGGCGATCATGTGACTTACAGTTGGAGTAATGAGGCGGGCAAACATCTGCTGAGCCTGGCCAACCACTCCCACCTCCTGAACATCAGTCTTAGCAGCCAGGATCATGACAGCATCTACAACTGCACGGCAAGCAACCCTGTCAGCAGTCGCTCTCAGAGCTTTGACCTATCACAGGAGTGCAGGCGAGAATCCTCAGGTGGGTACTCTGGGGGCAGCCTGGGCACATCATCAGTGGCAAATCCAATACTAACAGGTCCAATAGCTCCACTTCCATAGCCAAGCCTTGCCAACGGCACTTAAATGTATGTAGGCACTTACCTATATGTTGTCAAGGCCTCCAGGCGCATCCAACAAAGGTGCTTTCATGTCAGCCCTAGGTGGCATTCTATTCCATTTGGTTCACAGTTGAGGAACAAACAGAGAAGAAAAAAAAAACAGAATCAGACCCAGAACTCAGGTTTCCAAGAGAAAACCTTTTTCCAGGCCTTCTGCCCTGGATCGTCATGAGCGTGCAATGATGTCTGGGAAGGAGAAAGCAGGTTGCAAGTGCTCAGTCCCAAAGCCGTGCTCCATTGTGGTGAGATAGTTTTATGCCGTCAGTAAGTACTTCCCTTACTGAGAAGGGAGTTGGTACAATGCGCGATCTCTGCACCGCAGCAACGCGCTGTAAATGCAAGCACGAAACGTGTGTTTGATAATGAAGTTCAGACTGTAAGGGTGGGGCTTGTGCTGTGAATCCCAGAGCCAGTGAGAGGACCAGAGGAGCAGAGTGAGAGGTGAGCTGAGTTCCAGAGCGTGAAGCCAGGGAACCGTGATGAAATGGTAGCACTCCCTTAAGAGCGAGTCACTGTTAACTCTATCGTCTCTTTGGCTCACAATACATTTGTCCGGTGGGTGCTATTACCAGCTTCGTTTTACATAGGAGGAACTTGGAGTTCACAGAATTTAAGTATCTTCCTCAAGTTTCTTCAACATCAAATAGTGGAGTTAATGCCTAAATCTTTGGAGTAGGTCTTCTCTTTTCCGAGGTAGAAAGCATGGTTGTTCTTTTGGGAGAGAAAGATGATGAAGTAAGCCCATCTCACCAAGAAACAGAATAGACCACTGCCTTCTTGTGCCATTACTGTGCCTCTGTCACAGGAAGGTTCAGGAAAAGCCCTGAAGGGCATTACTTACACTCTGACATCTCCTAGACTCCCACCTACACAGACTTGGTGTCTGTGTGACACACAGATGGACAGGGACAGAGGAAGGGGACTGTACATACGTTAAGCTATGAGCATAGTACTTCCTGTAATAGAGACTCCCCACCCCCAAAGGGCTCTCAGAGAGGAAATACCCCTGCTGAACCCCAACATATTCCTTTGACTTCTTTTTTTATGAACTTAATGTAGTCGTGTCACAGAAAGAGGCAGCCATCTCTACTTTCTAAACGTGGCCACAAACAATGCGTAGACTCTTCTCCAGGTATCTCTCTGCCCACAGTCATTCAGGCATCCTGGGAAAAAAAAAAAACAGTGCCGTATAGTGGGAAGCTTCCAGAATGTGGTCCTAAGGGGCTCTTTCTAATTATTGGAGTAAAAAGCTCAACTTTCTCTGAGACTTTTTCATCTGTAAGTGATGGCTTGGCCTTGACTGTTCACTGGCTACTTGGCAAGTCACTAACCCTCACAGCCATCAGATGATGGAGATAGTGCTAACATCTTCACCCTACAGATGAAGTGAAGAAAGAAATCAAAAGGTTGGAGTAAGGTCAAACACAGAGCCAGTGAGAGAACTGGGCTGTCTGGTGCTGGAATTCTCATAGGTATTCTTGGAAGAGTGAATTCACTTAAAATGCCTTAGAAATCATAATAAAAAAAAACTAGTTGTTTTCCTTGAAGATGAGGGAGAAATACCCATTATGCCAGCCCAGCTCTCTTTGGTTGTAAAAGCCTGTTTAGGGGCAGGCAACACATTTTTCCTTGGCCTATCTCAAAATGGGATGCTAGGGATGCTGGGATGGGAATTCCTTTCATGCTCCAAGACAGCTTGACAAGCCTCTGACTAGTGCATAATAAAATCGTGGGAATCCATGAAGCTTACACCTAAGAGCAGTCAGAGCAGGACATTCTACACGAACACTGAAGATAGTTTTACCTGTTTAAGGCACCCTGAGGATGAAATATACACTGGTGTGACCAAGTGAGCAGCAGGCTTCTGTGAGGTGCAGAGGGACATGAAGTGACAAGACAGGGTGCTCTGAATAGAACTCTATCAAGGCCTCGTCTGCGGGTCATGGGGGGAGGGCACAGCTGTGAGCCTGTTTCACCTTGATTAAAGGTCAGAGAGTTTGAGCTTGTTTTCACGCTTTCAAAGCTGTTGACAACAGGAGTGGTTGCAAACAGGGTATCTTGACCTAAGGTGTGGTTACTTGGTGTTTTGGACATTAAGATGGCCCATACAGGTGGATCTGCTCCACCCTGACCAAAGGTCAGAGAATTCAAGCCTATTGCTGCTCCTTTATTTTAAAATCATTGGCTTGACCCAGGGAGAGGCTGCCTACAGGATACTTGGTCTAGGGTGTATTCACTGTATATCCTGCCTAAAAAGTCAGAATGCTTAACCCAGAAAATAGTGGTTGGATGTCTCAAGTATTAAAGCAAGTAACTGTTCTGGTCATCCTTTGTGTCATGTTAAAGCAGTCTTTTGCTCCCCGCTTCTGTATTGGGGTATATAAGTGTATAAAAAATAAATGCAGGCAGATTCAGTATTCACTGAGTTGCCCTCCCAGTATGATCCTATGTCTCTATTTCTTTTGTATCTCTTTCTGTTCTGCCTAGCATTTCTAACCTACATGCTCCTACCCTGGAATGTACGAACCCATCATGGCTGGACCATGACACTCATCCGGTCAGTAAAGATACTTGACATGAGGCAGCCACTTTCCTCTCTTAGGCCTCTGTTTCACCATCTGCAAACCAAAGGGTAAATTACTGATGTTCCTTCCAGAGGTGACATTTGTGATTCAGCTTGTGAGTATGTCAACAAGAACTATTAATAAGAGATGCTAGCGAGTCTCAGTTTTCTGGGGATATTGATGTCATAAACTTGGAAATTATTGTCTCAATGTCCTGGAGTCCAGAAACTCAAGATCAAGGTGTTGTCTGGTTTGATTTCTCTTGAGACCTCTCCTTGACTTGCAGATGGCGTTTCTCCTCTGTCTGTGCATCCCTGGTGCCTTTCTCCCTTCCCTCATTTGATACGAACAAGAGTCAGGTTAGATAAGAGCCGTCCTAGTGACCTCATTTGAACTTAATTACCTTCTTAACAGCTTGTTCCCAAATATCACCCTGGCGAGGCTTAGAGCTTCGACATATGAGGGAGTAGGTGTAGTAATTAAACCATACCACCACACTCACACCCTAGTTGCAACTTGATTATCTCTGTAAAGCTCCCATATCCAATCGAAGTCACATCCTAAGGATGTCCAAATATAGATTTTAAGAGAACACAATTTAACGCATAGTTCAAGTAATGATTTCTCCACCTCCAAAGATGGAGGAGGTCTTCTCCAAATCCAAGCCAGACATACAGACAATTTCCAGCATGACCTTTTCTCTTCACAGGGCTGTAGAGGAAATTACCTAAATTACTGAAAAACCACTTTCATTGGTCTATCACAGTGGTTCTCAACTTTCCTAACTCTGTGACCCTTTTTAATACAGTTCCTCATGTTGTGGTGACCCCCGACCATAAAATTATTTTTGTTGCTACTTCATAACTGTAATTTTGCTACTGTTATGAATTGCAATGTAACTGTCTGTGTTTTCCCGTGGTCTTGGGTGATCCCTGTGAAGGGGTCACAAGCTGAAAGCCGCTGGTCTATCACTTTGTGTTTGCAAATGGAAGTTGCTAATTTTAAAAGTGCTTTTTTGGCTTTGACAAAGCATCTATTGAGGATCTACCATGTTCCAGCATCATGCAAGTGACTGAGCACACAAAGATAAAAAAGAAAGAGTGCAATCTTTGTCCTGAAGGAGAGAATTCTGTAAATAGATAGATAATGATCCTAGATCACATGGTATGGAGGGGAGGTTATAAAACCAAAGCGTGTGCAAGGTAAAAAAGAGGGGGAATGAACAGCACTGGCTCCTCGAAGATGGGGATTCAAGCAATGAGCAGAAGTTACCCAGACTCACTGACAAAAGGCAACCTGAGCAGAGGGAGAAGCAGAGAAGAAGGCACAGGCCACATTCTCCACCGCCTTGCAGGTAATAGGGAGATAGGAATTGGTGGTTCTAGATGGGAAACGGCTCCACCGTCTTTGCATTGCGAAGAGAAAATACAGTGGCGTAGAGAACAGACTGGGGTCAGCAGGAGACAGAGAGAAAGATATGAGTTATAGGAGGACCTTAGGACAGAAATCCGTCAAAATGTGCTGAGACCTGAGTCAAAGCAGCGACTGTTACTGCGACAAAGACTCCTTACATAGTGTGTACCAAGGGAAACCTCCGCCCTGGAACGAAACTGTGCGGTAGTCTGAGGGTTCATCAGATATTGCCATCAGTAAGTCAGAAGAGTCATTTTGAAGACAGTTTTTCACTTTAATTGATGAAAATACGTGCATGGACACATGCGTGCCTTGAAAAGAAGTTTTGATGACATCTGTCTAGGTTCTCAGTCATATAATCATCCAAGTTCCAGCTGCCATTTAAGAATTTCGTGCATCTTCAGTGTCCATCATAAAGAAGTCTCGTATGCAAGGCCTAAGTGCTAGGGCCCCACAGTGTCTTTTATCTAGGTCATGTGAAGCACATTAATGTGGTTTGACAGTAGATCCTGTGTGGGACTTCCTGCTGTCCTTAATCACTCTGTTTTGAAAGCATTGTGTCTGTGCAAGGACAGTTGATTCAGAATCTTAAAAATTCAGCTAGAAGGGAATGCCCCTGGAAGCCCACACTCAAAGGGAAAACTTTCTCAAGAAATTAGTAGAATGCTGGCTCGGTGGAAGAAAGGGCTGACACGTGAGCTCCAGAGTGTCCCCCACCCCAGTCGAGCAAAGCCTCATTTTCATAGTCACCTAGATGTTCCATGACTACGGTCCTCTCCAGTGTGCTCCCCGGCTAGCCACCCTGACAGCAATGGCAAAAGGGTAGAGTTCAGATGCTTCTCATCAGCTCCAATTCATTATGAGGCCAAACACGATACAAGGAA